TTTATACAAAAAATAAAAACTACATCTTTATTCATTCTCCAGTTAATGGGCAGTTGGGCTGTTCCCCAGTTTTAACTGTTACAAACTGTGGCATTATAAATATGTGTGAGCATATATCACTGTGGTATAATTCTTTTAACTTTTTTTGAAGATACCAAGCAGGGAAATAGCTGAGTCAAAAGGCACTTCCAATCCTAGTTGTGTAAGATATCTCCAATTTGATTTCACAGTGGTTACACCAGTCTACACCCAAGCCAACAATGAAGAAGGGTTACTTTCTCCCTACAACCCAGCCAGCACTTGTTACTGGTTGAATTCATGAGAGCAGTCATTCTTTCTGAGGTGAGGTAGAATCTCAGTGTTATTTTCATCTGCGTATCTTGAATGGTCAGTGATGTTGAACATTCCTTCATATGTTTATTTGCTGCTTTTACTTGATTGTCTGAGAAATGTCTGTTCATCTCAGATTCCCATTTTTTAATGGAGGGGCTGATGGTTTTAGTTCTTTATATATTCGTGTAGGGCAGCTTTGTCTGAAGAACAGCTGGTAAAAAAATTCTGCACATTGTAAGTTCTCTCTTAGCTCTGTTTGTAGTTTCTCTTGTAGTGCAGAAGATTTTCAAAAAGATGAGTTTCCAGTTGTGGATTCTTTGTGCTACTTCCCTTGCTACTCAGGATTTGTTCATAAAGTCTTTTCTTATGCCAGTGTCTTCAAGAGTTCTACCTAATTTATCTTCTAATAAATTTAGTGTTTCTGTTTTAATATTTAGAACTTTAATCCACCTGGAATTTAGTTTAGTGCATGATGGAAGATAGGGATCTAATTTTAATCTTCCTGAAGATAAAATCTAGTTTTTTCCAATACCATTTATTAAAGAGACTATCTTTCCTCCACTGAAGATGGTTGGCTCATTTGTCAAAGAAGAGGTAGCTGAGTATATCTGGAGTTGTTTCTGTATCTTCCAGTCTATTCCACTGATCCTTGGAACTGTTTCTCTGCCAGTACCATGCCATTTTTATCACAGTGGCTTTGTAGGATAGTTTCAAGTTGGCATTGTGATACCCTTGCCATGTCTCTGTTGCCTAGCATGGCTTGTGCAATTCTAGATCTCTCTGCTTCCAAATAAATTTTTGGATTGATTTCTCTAGTCTCTGAAATATACTTTTAGGGTTTCAATCAGGATTGCATTAAATCTGTAAAGCAGTTTTAGAAGTATGGACATCTTCACTATTTTCATTCTACCTACCCAGGAGAAGGGAATATCTTTCCACTTTCTTTTTATTGAGTTTATTGGTACATTTTAGGTATACAATACAGTTGCATTCATTATTGGGATCTTGTACCTTACATGACAGGTCTTGGTTCTCATGTTTTCCCCTTATCCCTGCTCTCCCTTAACCCCCTCCTCCCCTCCCCATTTACAAACACTTTATTTCCATTTTTTCATTTTCTCATATTTTTTCTTTTCCCTTATTACCTTTCCCCTACCATTCCCACTTTCCCTACACCTTTAGTCCTTTTCTGCCCATTTCACATTGTCAATGATCTCATTAGGATTTTATGTACCATTACAGTTTTTCACACCAGAGAAACTATTCGGTATTTACAGATGTGTGCGTTATTTATTTCACTTAGGAGCATATCCTCAATATTATTTTAGCTTCTAAAAATAAATAGTATGTGTTTAGAACAAAAGCATTTGGATTATCAACTGAATAATTGACCTCCGTTATGATGATCTCTGAATTTCCTTTTCCCCAACATTACCTGAGAAGACTAAAATCTTCATTATTTAACCAATTCCTATTCACTTCTCCCTGCTTATCATTATTCCTCCAAATTAAATTCTCCAATGGCTTCTTTCACAAGTACTTCTACCCTCAAGGGAACCAACCAGGCAAAGAAGCAATTATATTTGCCTCCAATTTGGAGTAGGGGACGAGAGGTCCTTTCCATGGTTTGTAAAATCAGAACTCACATCAGTTTCTCAGGAGCTGTGAGCTGATGTACATGGCTATGTCTGCTGGGTTTGATTTTGAACTGAGAGCTCTTCTGCAAGAAGCAGGGGAATGTCCAGTCCTTACAGACGCGAGGTTTGGCTCTGTGTTCCGTGTCTTCTAGAGAGGAATTGAAGAAGCTTCCCATGTTTTGTTTCCAAAGATAGCTGTGCACACAATTTAAGAGGCCATATCAGAATAGAATACTTAACATTCAGAAATATGAATGACTGTGTTTGGATGTGTCTGTCCACTGTGTGACACTCATCCCTAGATACGGTACCCATTGTACTATGCACAGTATGAATGAAAGCTGATTTTAAATAATTCATCTTGAACTGTGTATCTAAGTTTTTTAAAGTTTCTGTTTTATTAGCACCTGAATGTAGCACATAACGTTTGCATTCCTTGTGTGAATTTGGTAGGTGTATATAATGCATCTTAATTCCTTTATTCTCTTTCCCTTGTGTCCCTCCTCCCTTCCTCCATTCCTTTATCCTCTCATTTTTTACTACATTTTTCTAGGACATGTTTACATTTATTGTATGGAGTAGGTAGAGCAAATAATTCTCCTTTTAGAATAATTTATCTGAAATTGGTTTTATATCCAGTTTAAGACATTGAAATAAACATATCTTCTTTTGCATATATTTAACCCTGGTAAATATTGTGACTTTTTGCAAATTTTATACCAAGTAACTTTACTTGTATCCTTTCTGCTGTCACAATCTAGCTATAAGTAGGGTCTATATTTACTTAAAATACATTAGTGTCTTATTCTGTTGCCTGATGATTCTCTTTCCGTACTGTAATCTGACCTCTACCTAGACAATAACAAGCTATTTAAAATTCTTAGTCATATCTTTGTTTAAACACTTGTATCTGTGCAGTGCTGCTGTAGAATAAAACTGGAAATTTTTGCTAAGCCCAAATGGCCTTGTAATTTTATGGCTCTTTGATAATTCTTCCCAAATATTCTCAGGGCATTCATGGTCTTGAGTTGTCTCTTTTCCTCAAATGCCAGAGCCTTGTGAGTCTCAACCCTTCCCTGGAGTGCCCATAGTTATATTCTTCCAGTGGCAGCTTCTTGATGTAGGATTCACATCTATAAGACATATAAAGGAGCTTCCTTGTTACTCTAGCCTCTTGTAATGTGACAATCCTTCAAAAGTATGAAATAAATTCTCTCAAAATCAATATTTAGGAATGTATCCTTATAAATAGGATAATACAAAAACCTGACAGATGAAGAATGCTGTTTGTAGCAATTTTGGAGGATATGGCAAAATATTAAAAACAAACTACGTGTCCAACAATGAGCTTTATGGTAAACTAATAGATATTAACATGAAAGTGAGTAAAATCATGTGCTTTGTAATATCGGAGAAAAAATTTTTACCATAGTGGGGTTAAAAACCTAGGAATTATGAAATAATATTAATCAATTTTGGAGAATTGATACATTGTCTAAATTTATGTAAATCCCAAAATGAATGATGAGTAGGAGTAGGATATGTCCTCAGTTCTCAAATATCAACAAAGTTAGCTTGAATAAGTCTCCATATACATTATGGATTCCAGTTTTAGCAGATATATTCTCAAATTCTCTTTTCCTTTTAATTTGTAATGTGTAATATGGATAAGTTTAGACCAACTAGTTTGAAGGGAAACAGAAACAATTTTCATAATATTGAGACTTTGAGAATAACAACTAGAAAAATGTAATTTAAAGTCTTTATCAGAACACCTAGAATGTGAACCACAGGAAAGAGAAGTTATTATTTGTGGACGCTAGTCAGACATTTACAATGGCTTTTCATTATTTAGACCCTGATGTGAGTAGAAAAGCCAAGTATTCCCCAGTGTTCTGAGGATTTCAATAGGAATAATCTGGTTTGAGAGAGTGACAAAAAGATGGAAATTTCAAAGATGAGCAGACTCTTTTTCATAGCGCGTGAAAATTTGTATTGTAAAACTGATGAAAATATTGAGTAAGAAAGAATGTTCTTAAAGGAAAAAGCAATGGCTGAACTACAAGAGAAATGTCTAGATATTTTATGTTATTATGAACATTCGTGCTTTCAAAGCATTTCTTTGACTATTTGAGCAGTCATTCTCCAACTCTTCATATTGTGATAATTTGTAGACACAAAGCATTCCCTAGATTTCTTTTTACTCAAATTCAATCATTCCAAGTAGTGTGTTTGCAAAAGAGTATTTCACAGGCAAAGGAAATTTGAGACATTAATAAAAACTTAGAAGTTATCTACTGATCATCTTTTTAAGTTTTATTGGTACATTTTAAGTATGTGATATAATGACATTCATTGCTGGAAATTTGTACCTTTATGTAATCTATCATAGTTCTTATTTTTCCCCATTCCCCTGACCTCACTTTACCCTCTCCACTGCACCCTATTTATATGTTTTGTTTGTTTTGTTATAGAGAATATTAATCCTAATATTAATTCCATTCTTTCTTTTTTCTCCTACTCATTCCACTTCCCTTTCTCCTTTTCCCCTTTTCTTCCTACTTCCCCTTATCTATTGCACATATTAGTCCGAATTTACACTTTAATGTTCTCACACCAGAGAAACTATTCCAAATTTACACATGTGTGTCCTATTTATTTCCCTTAGGAGTATCACTTACTGGGTTTTTATTAGCAGAGACCAACCTGTCCTTTTGTCAATCTCTTTCATCAGAGATATAGTAAAAATACCCTAGGACTCTTCAAATTTAAGTCCAATCTGATGACCATTCAGTAATTTCATATTTATCTAAAGAATGCTGGCTTGTTTTTCAAGTGTACAAATAACATCCTTTTTCCAAATGATCACTAATAAATTTTTTAGAAAAAAGCCTGACATATTCAGATTGATATTTGCAGGTAAACACTAGTTTCAAACTATGTTTTATTATGTAATAGTCACAATGACTTTTCATTTTTTTACAGGTCTATTACCTTTTTGCGTCTTCAACATAATACAGAAGAAAGAGCATGAGGAATGATAATCAAAGTGTTATATCTGAATTCATCCTCTTGGGGCTCCCTATCAGGAAGGAGGAGCAAGGCATGTACTATGCCCTGTTCCTGGTCGTGTACCTGACCACGGTGCTGGGGAACCTGCTCATCATCCTGCTCATCAGGCTGGACTCCCGCCTCCACACCCCCATGTACTTCTTCCTCAGCCACTTGGCTCTCGCTGACATCTCTTTCTCATCAGTCACAGCTCCAAAGATGCTCATGAACATGCTGACACAGAGCCAATCCATCTCTTATGCTGGGTGCATTTCACAGGAATTCTTTTTCTTATTATTTGGTGGTATTGACAGCTTCCTTCTCACCTCCATGGCCTATGACAGGTATGTGGATGCTGGGTGCTTCACAGGAATTCTTTTTCTTATTATTTGGTGGTATTGACAGCTTCCTTCTCACCTCCATGGCCTATGACAGGTATGTGGCCATCTGTCATCCCCTCCACTACAACATCATCATGGGTCATATCCTCTGTTCCTTGCTAGTGGTTGCATCCTGGTTCCTGTCCTTTGCTGCTGCCCTTGTGCACACGCTCCTCCTAGCCCATCTGTCTTTCTATGGAGACAACACTCTCCATCACTTTTTCTGTGACCTGTCTGCCTTACTTAAGCTGTCCAGCTCAGACACAGCCATCAATGAGCTGGTTATTTTCATTGTAGGAACGATGGGTATTACTTTGCCATTCTTGTGCATTCTGGTGTCTTATGGCCACATTGGAGCCACCATCCTGAGAGCTCCCTCTATTAAGGGAATATACAAGGCTTTGTCCACATGTGGTTCTCATCTCTCTGTGGTTACTCTCTACTATGGAGCAATTATTGGTCTCTATTTTGTCCCCTCATCCAATAACACTAATGACAAGGACGTCATTGTGGCTGTTGTGTATAGTATGGTCACACCCATGCTGAATCCCTTTATCTACAGTCTGAGGAATCACGGTTTGAAAGGTGCTCTGGCGAATCTGCTTAGTAGAGGAAATTTTTCATCATGATGGTCATTGCAGTTCTCAGTATCTGGTATGACATCTTTCCAAGGACACATATACATCCTTTCTTTGAACTGTTGTTTCTTGCTGAATCTTCATATGACACTCTTTTTTTTAACCACTGTGTTTCATGTTAGACATAGTTTTTCTATTTCTCCTATTGATTTGGAGAATCTTGAGAAAGGTTCGTACAAATATACACATATATTTACCTTTCCTGTGTCTCTCCCTTTCATGTTGTTGTTCTCCTACAAAATTTTTCATTTTATATGTAGTCACATATAGTTTTTTTTATTGGATAATGTACAGAGCTTTTGTAGCAAAGGTTTTTTACATTGCTCAACATGAATTTTCCCTTCTGCTAGGTTTATGATTTTACTTTTGTGTAAACTTTTTTTAGCTTTAACTTGAAGTCTGTCATCCTCAATGCCTTTATTTATTTTTTTTTCATTGAGTTTATTGGTACATTTTAGGTATACAGCACAGTTACATTCATCATTGGGATCTTGTACATGACAGGTCTTGGTTCTCATTTTTCCCCATACCCCTGCCCTCCCTTCACCCCCTCCTCCCTTCCTTATTTACAAAAACTTTATTTCCATTTTTTTCATTTCTCCTATTTTTTTCTTTTCTCTTATTTCCCCTCCTCACCCCTTTCCAGTTTTCCCACACTTTTAGTCCTTTTCTTCCTATTTCACATTGTCAATTATACCATTAGGATCTTATTTACAATTATAATTTTTTACATCAGAAAAACTATTTGATATTTACACATATGTGACATTAATTTCACTTGAGAATATGGCCTCAATGTACAACCACTTAGCTGTAAATGTCTCTACTTTATCATTATTTATGGCTGAGTAGTATTCCATTTTATAAAAAGAAAAATCTTCTTTATCCAGTCTCCAGTCGATAGGTATTTGGGCTGTTTCCAAGTTAGCTATTATAAACTGTGCCACTACAAACATGTGTCACTGTGGTATGATTCTTTTAATTCTTTTGGGAAGATACCAAGCAAGGGAATAGCTGGCTTATATGGGACTTCCAATCCTAGTTATTTGAGGTATCTCCATATTTATTTCCATAGTGGTTGCACCAGTGTTCAGTCCCTTCAACAGTGAAGAAGGGTTCCTTTCTCCCCACAACCCTGCCAGCATTTGTTATTCGCTAATTTTGTGATAACAGTCATTCTTTCTGGGTTGCGGTGGAATCTCAGAGTAGTTTTCATCTGCATCTCTCAAATGACCAGTGATGTTGAACATTTTTTCCTTTGTTTACTTGCTGCTTTTACTTCTTTGTCTGAGAAATGTCTGTTCATTTCAGATGCCCAATTTTAAATTGAGTCTTCATATTTGGGGGGTCTGATCTCTTTGAGTTTTTAATATATTCTAGCTAGTAGACCTTTATCTGAAGAAGAGTTGGTAATAAAATTTTCCCAAAATAGGGGCTCTCTCTCTCAGCTCTACTGTTGATTTCTCTTGCAGTGCAGAAGTTTTTTAAAAAGATGAGATCCCAATGGTTGATTCTTTGTGCTAGTTCCTGTGCTACTGGGGATTTGTTCATAAAGTCTTTTCGTATGTCAATATATCCTAATTTATCTTGTAACAAGTTTAGTGTTTCTGTTTTAATATTTAGATCTTTAATCCACTTGGATTTTAGTTTAGTTCATGGTGTATGACAAAGCTCTAGTTTCAATCTTTGGAGAGGGTGAAATCCAGTTTTTCCAACACTATTTATTAAAGGGGGCTATCTTTCCTTCAGGGAGGATGATTGGTTCCTTTGTCAAAGATGAGGTAGCTGAGTCTGTCTGGAGTGGTTTCTGCATCTTCTAATCAATTCCACTGATCTTCATGTCTGTCTCTTGGCCAGTACCATGCTGTTTTTATCACAGTGGCTTTGTAGTATAGTTTCAAGTTGGGAACTGTGATACCCCCTGCCATATCTCTGTTGTCTAGGATTGGTTTTCCTATTCTAGTTCTCTTCTGATTCTAAATGAATTTTTTATTATTTTCTTTAGTTCTGTGAAATATACTGTTGGGATTTCAATATGGATTAGCTTGAATCTTATAGGAGTTTTGGAAGTATGGTCATTTTCACTAAACTGATTCTTCTTATCCAAGAACAAGGGATGTCTTTCCATTTTCTTATATCCTCTTTGATGTCTTTTTTTCAGAGTGCTGTTGTTCTCAATGGAGAGGTCTTTTGTTTCCTTTGTTAGATTTATTCCTAGATATTGAAAAGCATGTGTATGTACAATTTAATTCTCACTTCTCAGCTCTTCTACAAAATGATCATGCTCAGAAGCTACACCAATCTATTTCCAACTATATCACATCATAGAAAATGTGAAAAAATGAAATCCAGTTTTTCCAACACTATTTATTAAAGGGGGCTATCTTTCCTTCAGGGAGGATGATTGGTTCCTTTGTCAAAGATGAGGTAGCTGAGTCTGTCTGGAGTGGTTTCTGCATCTTCTAATCAATTCCACTGATCTTCATGTCTGTCTCTTGGCCAGTACCATGCTGTTTTTATCACAGTGGCTTTGTAGTATAGTTTCAAGTTGGGAACTGTGATACCCCCTGCCATATCTCTGTTGTCTAGGATTGGTTTTCCTATTCTAGTTCTCTTCTGATTCTAAATGAATTTTTTATTATTTTCTTTAGTTCTGTGAAATATACTGTTGGGATTTCAATATGGATTAGCTTGAATCTTATAGAAGTTTTGGAAGTATGGTCATTTTCACTAAACTGATTCTTCTTATCCAAGAACAAGGGATGTCTTTCCATTTTCTTATATCCTCTTTGATGTCTTTTTTTCAGAGTGCTGTTGTTCTCAGTGGAGAGGTCTTTTGTTTCCTTTGTTAGATTTATTCCTAGATATTGAAAAGCATGTGTATATACAATTTAATTCTCACTTCTCAGCTCTTCTACAAAATGATCATGCTCAGAAGCTACACCAATCTATTTCCAACTATATCACATCATAGAAAATGTGAAAAAATGGTTAAAATTATCAGAAGTTACTAAGGATTTGTACAGAGAAGTGTGAAGAGTATAAAAGGGATTTATAGAGCAGAAAAATTATTGCCTGATTCTTTCACTTTGGATAGATGAATTTGTGAAAACCAAACAAACAACCACATAATTGGCATTGTACAGAGTCAAAGGAATAGCTGTGACTTTGGAATACAGAAGCTAATTTAATCTTTTGAGTGAAATGCATGCACTGGACTTGATACTATATGATAAGAAACTAGGTCAGAGAACATTGGGAACAAGAACAGTGTAAGAACAATAGTACAAGATATGATAACTCAGTAAATGAATTTTTTCATTATTTTCTTTAGTTCTGTGAAATATACTGTTGGGATTTCAATATGGATTAGCTTGAATCTTATAGGAGTTTTGGAAGTATGGTCATTTTCACTAAACTGATTCTTCTTATCCAAGAACAAGGGATGTCTTTCCATTTTCTTATATCCTCTTTGATGTCTTTTTTTCAGAGTGCTGTTGTTCTCAATGGAGAGGTCTTTTGTTTCCTTTGTTAGATTTATTCCTAGATATTGAAAAGCATGTGTATGTACAATTTAATTCTCACTTCTCAGCTCTTCTACAAAATGATCATGCTCAGAAGCTACACCAATCTATTTCCAACTATATCACATCATAGAAAATGTGAAAAAATGGTTAAAATTATCAGAAGTTACTAAGGATTTGTACAGAGAAGTGTGAAGAGTATAAAAGGGATTTATAGAGCAGAAAAATTATTGCCTGATTCTTTCACTTTGGATAGATGAATTTGTGAAAACCAAACAAACAACCACATAATTGGCATTGTACAGAGTCAAAGGAATAGCTGTGACTTTGGAATACAGAAGCTAATTTAATCTTTTGAGTGAAATGCATGCACTGGACTTGATACTATATGATAAGAAACTAGGTCAGAGAACATTGGGAACAAGAACAGTGTAAGAACAATAGTACAAGATATGATAACTCAGTAGGATCCAGCTATTATAGTCTCTCAAGATTCACACCTGTTGATAGAATGTTAGCAGTGTGCAATAAATCAAGCTCTTTGCACTATGGTTTAACCAAATATATTGCAATTTTAGAAATTAAAGCTTTCCCTTGTTCTATGAATGATAGTATAGCAAATTACTATGTAAAGTTTTAAAACCTCAACTTTAGTCCTTGACATTTTGATGTATATTGAGTTGTAATATTAATGTGGTTGCAGATATAAATTCATCTGATGCTTTTCTCATATTAATAATAAAGTGCTTAAAATTACTTTTTAATAAATTATTTCTCCACTTCTTTCCACTGCTAACAACATCACCTTTTAATTTTTTGTGGATGTGTACATTGCTTCTTTTAAAGGCATACATATCTGGACCACATATCTATTTTTCAAGAATATCTTTTAAAAATATGTATGATTACCCTATTTGCTTAAAAGTGAGGCTAAATTTGAATTTAAGTCTAGCAAGTAGGATGAAAACTGGAGCAGAACAATGTAAAGCATTTCCAGTCTTGGGTACACAACCATCAAAACTGAGCGTAGTAAATATACCATTGATTAGTGTAGGTAATTAAATTAGGTTTGTTCATTACCAGAGCATGACCCAGTATATTTTTTCTTTTTATAGCAGTCTTTTTCTAAGTGACAATACAATTTTATTAATTACAAGCTTTATTTTCAATAAATGAAGCACGGGAAAAATACCATAGTACCCTTCAGCTCTGGAATGTTTAACTAGATTGCCATATGTTCTTACTATGAAATAATATAGAATAATAAGGAAAGGCTGAACTACTGATTCCACAGGACAGATAAAAAATTTTACTATTATTTAGTAAAGATTAAAATATATAATCATTCAACAGATTATATGTTTTATGATTTTTAACTAAATGAGTTTGAAATGTGTGCAAAAGCAGTCAGAGATTGTACAAATCAGAACCTCATTAATCCCTGGTGGGGTACTGATTAAGAAAGAA